GCAGTGGACTTTTAATAATCTATAATGGCTACAATAACAGTAATTTGTTTTGAGCTTTACTATTAAAAGCTTATATAAAAGTTTTCTTTATAATAAAAATAAGGGAAACGAAAGAGCATACAATTCAATGATCGCAAGTGAATGCCGCAGTTCACTAACTACATCATTTATCCTCGATAAAGAATTGAAATTCAGATGAATTGTTAACCCTGAGGACTAAGATGGATGGCCTCGTTACCTGTAGTAAACAGAGTGGTATTAAGGTGCTTGGTCGAGCTGTCATGCTGGTAGTCCGAGTAAATGCGGTCCTTGCTTGTACGAGCGGACATAAAACTCCGAAGTGTGGCTCTACTACCTACAAACTTTATAATTATCAGGTAATTGACACCAATATATTATACCAATATATAGTAATTATTCATACACAACATTATTTGAATATGCAAATTTCAGTTATGTCCTCAAATTTCGTTGATTTTCCAAATTAAGTTATTTATTGATTAAAACTACTTTTACGGATTTTATTGCGTTTAATTATTTTATTTTTAATACCCGACATTTCGGGCGCTTTCCAGCACCCACGGTCACGGGAGACTGAGATGATTGACGTCCTGATGTCATTCTTGTCAACCTGGAGTACCTTCAACTTTTTTAATTATTGTTTGTGGTCCGATCTATGCAAAATGAACTGACAGAGTCTTGAAGTCTTGCAGTGGTATGCTTGGGATTAGTTTTAATTTTATTGATTATAGGGCCTCAAGCAGCCTCTTTCTCTATTGAAATAAGGATGATTTTTTTAATTTAAATAGCCTCACGTATTATCCTTGGTAGAAATCGATTTTGTTTCGCGAGGATTTGTAGTCATATCTGATGAATGGTTGAGTTCGTCTAAGATATGATCACAAACTGCAGATTTCCCGGAACGTTGATGCTTCACATCAGCTATATGTTCTTTTACGCAGGTTCTAATTGATCTTTTTGTTTAAGTAATTGAATAATTAAACGCGATAAAATCCGTAAAAGTAGTTTCGATCAATGTGTAGTGTTCGCGTTAATATAATAAATCATTAAGTTAATAGTATATTTTATTTCTTCTTCAAAAAAAGAGTTTCCAAATATGCCTTTTTAGTCTGTATGTTTGCGCTATCTGCGTCAATTGTGAATTTTTTTGCAACACAGGTTTCCCTTCTTCCATATAGATAAAAATCCACCCCATAAAGATAATGAAATAAATATGAATTGTGTAAGGATTTACACAACATTCTTGTTCAAAATAAATAGAGGTTTAAAAAAATAAAAAGTTTACATAATTCAAACAACTATAAAGGACTAACTTAGTTAGCAGTTTGTAGTCGGAGTTTTAATATTTTATACACTAGGCTTAACATTGAGATCAGAATGTGAAATTATTTTAATTAACTTCCCATTATAAAAATTAATGATTTTGAAAAAATCAGGAAATTATTGTTTTTACTTCGACTTTTGAAAATCGAGTTTTCATCATATCGCACACGCATATATATACAGGCATACACGTGTGCGTGTGGTGTGTGCGGGTACGTGTGCGTGTTTGTGTGCACATATATGCAGACATACGAACATGGTCCTTCCCCAGTCGAGCCCACCTATTCGTGCTACAACCATATTGCCACTAGGCCCTATTGCCTTATATTAAATAACCTGCAAGATAATAAATTTGAGAAATTATACAGCGTAAACATTCTTTTTTTCTTTTAGGGTACATAACCCAATGTCTTAAAACGTCGTTTTAAGAATGGACCGTTATCTCCGATTGACGTCCGCTTTCCTTACATTGCTTTTGTGCATTTCTTTTTCCTTTTTCCTTCCCTTTGAAAACCACTTCCCTTTTTCTTTATAGAGATAAAGTAATTCCTATAAAATATACGGTATTAAAGATTTTTTTGTGACTTTTATGTATTGTATTATTATTTATTTTATATTGCTATGCTTGCCCATTATGCGTTTAGGCAAAAACCCTAGCTTAATTGGGTAGATTTGACATTTTGGTCAATTAACTAACTTTTTAAGAGCTGTTCAAACTCTTTGATTTGATTAATTGATTGATATCTATGGAAGTTTTATTAGAACATAGTGTAATGATATTATCGGTTATTAGTCAAATAAATCTTATTTTTATTATTAAAATCATTTTTAAAATAAGTTAATTATTATTTATTTATGTTCGGTTGACACTACAGGCCATACCTGAAACTTACCGCTAGTTTCAAATTCAAAGCGCTTTAAATTTTAACTCTTAACAGTTCACGCCTTAGAAGTCTCTAGATAAAATTGCTATACATTTTAAACTTATTTTATATCTTTAAATATTTTTCGATTTATTATGAAAAAAAAATTATTTCAAGATATCTTTTGACAACGATATTTATCGAACGAATCGACCAATTTCGATGCATTTTGCAGAAATCGACGTCGTTTTTTGAGTAAAATATCTGATTAGATCATAGAATTTATCAAAACAAAGATGTCGAAGTAATTCCAAAAAAAAAAAAACTTTTGGTAAATCCAAACGTGCATGCCTTGGGTGCTCATTTTAAACATCAATTTAAAGTATTTTAAATGCACACAAGTTTCCCCAATTAACGTTATTACTTCTAATTTTCTGATAATTTTATGTCAAACGTGAATTTAAAAAAAAAGCTTGGTAAATCCAAAAGTGCTCGACTCATAATGCTCACATGAACCGTGAACAATTGTAGAAACGTAATATCAATCAACAACAGAAAATATTTTTTTAATTTTTTTCATGTTGTTATCATTGAGATTCATTTTGTTTGTAGCTAATTGAAAAAAAAACTTTTAACATAATTATTTTAGTACTTTTATATATATATATATATATATATATATATATATATATATATATATATATATATATATATATATATATATATATGTATTCAGAAATCAACTTTAATATAACTTTAATTGTTAGGTATACTCAGACAATATCATAAAAACTAGTCTTAAAAATTCATAATAATAAGTCATAAAAATAAGTCAGGTAAAACAAACTCGTTACTAAATATTTTTTGTCATCAACTTTATTTCGTTTTTAAAAAGTTTTTTATCTAGTCTTAACCAGTATTTTAATTTAGCATTCAACAAAGTACACCCTTAGGTCACTTTATCAAGTCCGGAGGTAAGATCACATCATAACTAACGAAACGAAGCCAAACGGCACACCTATTTCTACTCTTCGAGGAGTTCTAGTAGCAGATACCGACGTGCACCTTCAGGTCACTCCAGAAATTCCAAGACGTATAACTTATAAATTTTACTCTTGAAAATCTGTGATTATAAAAAAAATAATATCTTACCTTGATCAAGTATGTATAAAATTTGCTTTTTGCAATATTTTGTATTTCTACAGCGATCGATATTTTTCATCAGGAGCCGCTGTAAACAAACGATACAGTAACCCACTCACGATGGCAACTGTAGCGGCGCTGCCGTCGCCGCCACAAGCGAAAACACACCGAAGCCTAAATCGCGCTATCAACATTCCGAATCATAAACAGTATATATAGAACATCTCCGAATTATCACACGGAGTGTTGGCCGCTCCCCGGGCAGAACACCTTGCCCGGCGGGATATCTCCCCTTTTCCTACCACGGCCACAGTGGTGACCCCGACATGATTACCTTCGGAAACTTCAAGCTTCATCATCGTCATATAATACCCCACCGTATCGCTCCCGAGCAGATATCGTCTGCAGTCTTCATATCCTGCAAGCCATCTAGCTTCACAAGGTTCATCGCAGCATTGGAATAATAATGCTTCCTGTTCCTTCAAGCTACTCTCTGTGCTATACAGTGTTCGGCACGGCTCTGAGCCTTACTGCTCGCCTCTGCTTCACGGCACTCTCGCAGATTACTTGCCTTCTTCTCGACTCACCGCAGACTACAAGGCAATCCACTGGCACTTGCACATTGGTCGACAACGAGACTGCACTATCGACCTCCGGTCTGAGCAGGGGGTGATGTAGCGGCGCTGCCGTCGCCGCCACAAGCGAAAACACACCGAAGCCTAAATCGCGCTATCAACATTCCGAATCATAAACAGTATATATAGAACATCTCCGAATTATCACACGGAGTGTTGGCCGCTCCCCGGGCAGAACACCTTGCCCGGCGGGATATCTCCCCTTTTCCTACCACGGCCACAGCAACCAAGACCGAAGTGGGTCAAAGTGTGTTGCTGTATTTAGTAAACTATATTATTGCAAGGCTGCTCAAGCATCGAACATTTCGGAATTTCCCAGCCGAAAAAAATAATTATAGGTATGTAAAAAACAAAATTAAACAGCCATTTACATTCCACGTGGTAAATGAAGAGATTAAAACATAGATTGAGTTGAACAATTGATACCTTCAAAAATTATCATGTTTACCCCTCCATACGGACTTGATAAATCTACGCCATAAGTCACTTAAACTTTTTCAATGTAAAAATACCAATAAATCGTTATAAAAATAGGTTAAACAATCATTTATCTTTTTAACAATGTTCTTTTTATATCATTTGTATTGTTGGATACAATTTCATTTGATAAAACGTCGGGTTCTTTAGCGTGCGCAAGCACAGGCGAACGCTCACACGCACACGTAAACGCACACGAACAATATGAATGTGCATATTAACATACATACAGACAAACGGACATCATCACCAAATAGCCATAAAAGCTTCCTTGGACTTCAAAACGTCGAGATATTATGAAGCACGTACTCACAGAATACCAGCATAAAATAACAGCTCTCAGCAGTATGATGAGAGTATAAAATTAGAGATCCTTATAACTTTAAAGGGGCATTCCACCTTATTCCTCAGGGGTGACAACACATCTGCATTCGGAAACTTAATGCCATGGACCACAGAATTCATTTACCATCAGGTGGACAATGTGCTCGTTTGTAATACTTATTTAATAAGAGAAAATTAAAAAATATTATCTTACCAATAACAACACCGTCAACACTAGGACCGAAAGCATATGAGAAGTCTGGAGCTTGCACTGGTGCTGATAGCAAGGATTCCAATGGTCTTTCACGTAAACATCGCAATAGAGCTGGTGGTGTTAAATCTGGTCAAAAATAGAGCTCATTTTTATCATAACAACTTCTTATACTTATTTTTACTAAACATTGTCTGGGGTTCAAAATCATACTATCAAAGATCCGAAGTAATGCGATATACATTATATAGCTCTAAACTACCACACGGAGCGTTGTCTGCTCCTTGGGGAAGTATCAGCCCGGTGGGAGATCTCCCCTTTTCTTTCTACGGCCAAATAGGGAAGTTTTACCATAGTACAAACGCGCTCAAAGTACTTGACATCTAGCACTTTAACGCTGCTGCCTGTCGCCGGATTTTTTACGCGTGGAAGTTTTACGCCCGGCGTAAATGGTATAACGACAAATATAGGAAAACTTAAGATCTTTGTGACATTGCTATCTCTACTTTTATTATTTTTGATGCATTCTCTGTCAATTGGGAATTGTCTGTTATCTATTTTCTAAAAATGAAGAACTTATAATTAAACTAAAACATAAACTTTACCGTTATAACTTTTTGTAAAATATTGAGTATTATAACTAACAACGTAGGAAATTCAGATGGTTAACGCTCGCTGTAAATATAACAGAACGCGAGTAACCCGGGTTCGATCCCCGCCGGCACCAATGAAATTGTTAAATGCAATTTAAGTGCTGATTTACCACGCGCTCGCCGGTGAGGGAAAACATCGTGAAAACAACATTCTGCATGTCTGAGGAATAAGAAAAAAAATATTTCGAAGACATGTGAAGTTCGCCAACACACATTGGGGCAGCGCGGCGGACACTTCCTTGCCCTAAAATCCTCTCAGAAATGAGGGGAGGCTTGTGCCCGGCAGTGGGACGTATATAGGCTGTAACTTTTCTTTTTACTTTACTACGTAGGAAACCAGTATCATAGGAGACAGGTTATATGTGCAGGACAGGAACACAATGAGCAAGCACAGGTGCAATCTCTATTCCCTTATTTTCATAGTCCAATAGTACAGAAATCCCACACGACCGAACAGAGTTCAGGTGCAGTACCGTAATTTTTATGACTCCGGGCTGCTACTAAGAACTGATGGAAAAAACGCAATAACTTAAATTGGCCCGGCCCTGGATTCAAAGCTGGGATTACATGATCAGTAGTTGCACTCACGACACGACTAATGACGCAGTCAGTATTCTACATTTAATAAATAACTTAATTATAAAAAAAGATCAAAATAATTTGGAAATTTTTGCACCTTACCGGGAGAACAATTAGCATGTCTCGCTACTATTGACGCATATTTATGCGGGTCCGCGACCAGAGACCATGGGCTGAGACCAGATCCAGACATCAGTATTGCTCTATGAAACAGCAATCCTGGAAAGAAAAGTATCAGTAATAATTCTTATAAATATATTACTACGTTTATATTAATGGTAAAGTACTAGGCGAGGATTGAACCGGGGTTGCTTGCGGTGTGCAGCGAGCATTAAGTGCTCTTGTGCCCTTAACTACCACGACTCAAATGATTACGTAAACATCGAAAACTGTCGTACGTTTAATATTATAAAGGCAAGAGGATTTAAATGTATACCATTTGAAAGACACTTTGTCTTAAATACACAGAGGTAAAAATCATGATGCCGTTAAGACAGGTAAAATAAAGTGAACATTTACTGATTGTTCAAGAAGAGTAAACACCTTGTTTATATTTCTTAAATTCACACATTCTGAAGACACTAATGTACAAATCATTTAGTTATATCGTCCACATGCAGTGTAGCGGCATCTATTTCAACTGACTTAACTGATAATTTGCAAATGTAGAACATTAAATCTGCAGTAATTCACGTATAGGTAAAGTAAATAGATCAAACTTAGAAGAATAAAAGTTTTTTGTTTACGTCAAATTAAGTATCTACTTCTTTATGGAAAGTCGGAATCAAACACTTTTTTATTTAATTATTTATATCTTTACGATTTTTTGCACACCAAGTACAAAAGGCAGATTTAATGCAACAAGGCATTCTCTATGAGTCTACTTGCAGGCTAAGTAGAGGAAATATTATGGGCGAAAAGTACAAACAACCACGCTAAAATATTTATGTCAACATAATAATAACCATAACTACATACTAAGATACATATTATAAACATATTTACACAAAGATAATAAATATACCTACAAATATATGCGTATACTAGCGATCTGCCCCGGCTTTGTATGGGTGATTTCTGAATCTCGACAACAGCACCACTTCTTTGGTTTAATTGTGAATCTAAATTTCTAAAATTCTCGAATTAACTTATTCACACACAAAATTTCATTTAAATCGTTCCAGCCGTTTAGGATTTCAGTTGCACACACACGGAAAAATAATTTTATATATAAAGATTTACTTTATACTACCTATGCATATAAATACATGTACATACAAAACGACAAAGCGAAATGATAAAATTTAAAGACTGTATAAAAATGGAAAACCACAAACTACCCCCGCAAAGTTATAAAATGATTCCAGTTTACCTTTAACTAATATCGAAAAAATACCTTAAATAAGTTTTTATTTGTTCCATTATTTACATCGTAGCGAAGGCTATATTATAAAACGAATTTCAAAAACTTTGCAACTGACAATGGGAAGAGTATATTTATTCACGAAATATTGAAAAGGATTGGAAATAGAGCGAGGAATATATTCATATACATTTGTTTGGACAATAAATCGTTTCGAATAGTGTTTTGTTATCCGTGCAGTTTCAACTCACACTCGAAATGCAATAAATCAAAAATTCATGCTATCAAAAATGATCTTTTTAATTACATTTTCGACTTGAATTTCGAATTGAATCTCACTGATATTCATTACGATTTCTTATATTTACGCGAACACTACACAAAACTAATTTGAATGGTTTCTTTATCATCGTCATCATTTTTAAGCCTACTGATGAACATAGATGCACCTTAAATAATGTCACAAAGTACGGTTTCAAGCCACCTACACCCATCGCAATTCTAAATCTTCTACAGGTTTTCACTTCATCATGATGGTCTTAATCGCATTTTGTGTGCATTATAGTAAGCTTATACATGTAGCCAAAGAGTGGACGCCAAAAGAGAGCCTAAAAGATCGGCTTTCTCTTTGGCGGCGTGAGCCAAGTGAGAGGCGTCCTCTCTGTGCATGGATGGACAGTGTCAGCGAGAGACCAGTATGTACGGGTTCCTGATTCTGCCAATGCAACAACAGCGCTGCAATCATCCAGCGAGAAGCAAATCCGCTCGATAGGTGAGATGCAAAGAAAAACCACATTTCGTTCCAATCCACCAACCTGTAATGCCAAATACGGCGGCAAAATGAAGAACGCAACCACGTAGGGAGCGAGAGTGGCACCACACTCCGTAGTCTGAAGAGCCAAGAGGAGTGTCGAAGGAAACTTGGTGTCCATCCGGATGAGAGATCAGCAGAAGGTCCAATAGGGAAAGTGTGTAACCCTCCACATCGAGGGTAAAGTGCGGACCTGCCAAAGCAAAGTTATAAACAAATCTCCCCGCATGATTGGTTAGACGTGAATGAGCCATTCGGCGTGATGCGCAAAGGATCACGATCTCTGCACCCGTGATATATAGGCACCCGTAGAGACCTATAGACGTCGTCTGTCTACGTGTAACCAAAGAATGGACAGTTCCAAACCTTCAAAACCGCCGAAGCATCGAGAATAGACATCCTCTCTGATGTATACGCATATACCAGCCCGAGGCATAAAGGAGTGTACTAATGTACTTATGAGAGTTATTAGCCAGAGAGGACACCTGCGTCTCGGTTAGAAAGAGCACGGATAGCTTTGCCATCTCCAGATGGTAATGGACGGCGTTTAGGTTCGAGTAAAGCCCCTTGATATTGCAGAAATTTAAGAATAGCATGGCAGGATTCGCCTTAATTTTTTGCTTAGTTTTCTCCGGGCAGTTTTTGTCTTGAGCGGATTTTTGCCCCCCTACTCCAGAATACGCGGGGTAGCCCGTGCACCCGTGATTAGGAGTGGAGTAGTTTGGTCATGGATGCTCAACGAGGGAATCTCCGTCACCAGGCATGCTGGTACCCTCCTGGGATAGTCTCTTATTTAATTCCGCTACCATGTTGATGTAGGGGGGAATTGGGCCTCTGGCTAGCTACACTCACCAGACGAAACGCAGAGACAGAGCTTTTACTTGGCGCTGGCATTCTGAGTTCGCGGTACCACTACAGTTTGAGCCGGAACATACGTGCAATAACAAAAGCTGCCTCGTGGCTCTACCACTATTACTACCATGCAGTCGAACCAAACAGTTGGTTCTTCTTTCTTAATACGCACAGTAAAATAGTGGAATAATCTGCGTCTCTCTTTCTATCCGTTTATAATGTTGGTGTCGTCAAGGCAAGAGTAAACAGACTTTTGTTGCGCTAAGGCTGTGTGCTTTACCAACGTCGGCTACGTCACCACATTCCATCATGTGGGATGATAGTAAGATAATACTAGATGTATTTACTTAATATACACGACATTAAATAATATACTATCGATGGTAGGAATACTGTTCTGCCTAAGAGTTTTTCTGGGGAGATACCAGCCACTTACCTATTTTCCAGTTTGAAGGGTATAGAGGTTATGAAGTGAATCATTCCATCTAAGTCCTCAGGAACGATAATGCATCTGTAGTCTTCTATGTGTGAAGTTGGCTGCAGGTGTCCATGGATTGCAGCAGCCACTATCAGGCGGACTGTACGTTCGTTTGCGACTTCAGTTTTATAAAAAAAAAACTCATGGCCCTAAATAGTGCAAACATTTACAAAACGTCCTTAGTAGTGAAAGATTCTCATCAAAACCATCTTGAACTAGTGTCGCCATACAATATTATTTATTCAGTTTAAAAGTGGAGATTGCGCAGCACTTTACTCGCATTTTTTACACATACAAGAATGTGACATTGTAATCGTCTGTTGGAAGTTTGAATAAACTAACACATCAGTGTTACATCGTTTTTTGTGTTTTTATTATTATACCACTAGCGAAACCCGGCGTTACCCGAGTCAAAAAATATCGCACAGTTAGTAGTTATAAAATCAGCACATATCTTTGTACCATTAAATGTACTTTGTAAATAGTGTATACGAAATCTATTGATTAATTAACTTATTACAAACTGGAACACTGACTTGCAATAGTAAAAAATAGAATATTGAGACTGATTGTGTAGGCGATGGGCTAGCCACCTATATCCTATTTACAATTTTCCATATTTTTCCATATTTCTGTCCTGATTTTTAGCCTACATTTTCATTCGTGGATTACAGGCATAATGTATATAGTATATGTACTAACTGCTACTAATATTATTATTTCCCAGTAACTGACTTATGAGATACTTCTATCATTTTTTACAACTTCGAACGGCTCATATAAACTTAAAACAGTCCTGAATAATGTAAATTACGTTTGAGTTTCGTTACGCTTTCTGCCATTGGATGACACCCAAGTCCATCCATTCTTTTATTTTTTCTTGAAGTATATACTACTTATTTTAAATTGATTCTCTAAGCAAATTAAATTTGTAACTCACCCCGTTCACTCCTATCACCAAATTCCCAAGGTACCATACAATTTTTGTCTTCGAGCGTTGGTTTTGTCGAGTTTTTAGTATGTCTGAGTAAAAGAGTTGAATATCACTTTCTTTAACCTTATATGTAGGTGCATAAACTTGGATTAAAGTAAAAGTTTTTTGACCAAATTTCATATCTAGATGTACGACGCTATAAGATACATTTTTGTGGATAAGTATATATTGCTCATATTCTAAAATTTTAGTCCCTTCTTTTTTTTTTGAGCTAAGCCTATAATGTTCCATTTTATGTATCTAAGGGCATGGTCTAGTTCTTTTTGGCAACCGTATCCGACTTACAGAGACCTTACATTAAATGTGGCAATATGTATTTTAATATTGTTTTCGCTTTCTATTTTGAATTTATGGATGGTTTTGGTCTACTGCTCCCACGGTGACCATCCGTAATAGGAGAGTGATTCTGAGTAGTGCATTGATTCATTGTTTTAAAATATTGTCTGGAAGGGGCCTGTACTTTTAATATATCTGTAGAGTGTACAATCCGGGATTGTTTATTGTTATTTTTATAATAATTTGATGTTATTTGGTTAAGGCTCGATCTATGTTTATTACTAATTCTTATATTTTCACTGATTCCGAAATCTTTTTCTGAATTAAGAGGATCGATATATAGATTGGTTGTTTTCTGTGATGACGGTGGTGAAAAATAGAGTGGTATTTTATTTGGGCGTACATAATTATTGTCCCTTATTATGAGTTTGCCATATTTTATGTA